GGGCGGGGCCTTAGATGGGTGGGACCTCGGAAGCTGGGCGGGGCCCGGGAGGGGCGGGCTGAGGAGGAGGAATCTCTAAAGGGAGGGTCTTGGGAGGGCGGGGCCTTAGCTGCAGGAAGCAAGGGCAGGGCCTCAAAGGGGCGGGGTCTGGGAGCGGCGCTTGGGGGTGCTGAAGGCGGTACGCGCGCGCAGCCCGGCTTTGCTCGGCCACACGGGGGCGCTCTCCGAGCAGGGCCACCCCAACCGCGGTTCTCACTGCTCCTTGTCCCCAGCCCGGGAGGTGGCCGAAGGTCTCCGCAAGACCTCCCAGGAGAAGCTGGTGCTGCGGTATGAGGACGCCCTGAAGAAGCTGTCGCAGCTGACTGGGGAGAGTGACCCGGACACGCTGGTGGAGAAATATCTGGAGAGTGAGTGAGGGGCTGGCTGGGCGGCGAGGGGCGTCCGAGGGCCGCGCCCCCGGGCCTCCGGATCAAGTCCCGACTGTCCAGCTGCACGCAGGCCTCGACACCGCCTCCGCCTGCAGCCGCGGGGCAGTAGGTGGGCCGGGCCCTGATCGCGCGCGTGTCGCTTGCTCCCTGCCCACCTCCCCCCACCTCTGGCTCGGGCCTCGCGTGTCCCTCCCCCTCTGTCCGCCGGTGCTTGCCTCGCGCATCGCCGTGTCTTCCCCCTGTGCCTGCGGCCGCCGGTCCCCTTCACCTCGCCCCTCGTCCCCGCGCTCCTCTGTCTCCGGGTCTCTGTTCCTGCCGGTCCCCACCTCTGCCATTTTCTCGCGCGCGCTGTTTCTCGGGGTTTCTGCCCGTGTCGCCCCGTCTCTCGCGGGCTTGCTGCGTCTCCGCGGGTATTCGCTCTGTGCCTGGTCCTTTCTCGCTCTCGGACCTGCTCTGTGTTTCCGTGTCCCCTGCGTCGTTATCCGTGTCTCCGTCTCCGGGACCCCTCCTCTCCATTTCTCTGTGGTCTTTCTGTCTTTAAACCTCCATCCCGTCCCTCTGCGACTCTGTCTCTGTCTCTCTGGACCCGGGCCTGGCTGCGCTAGTTGAGGAGCGAAACTTCGCGGAGTTCAACTTCATCAATGAGCAGAACTCGGAGCTGGAGCACTTGAAGGAGGAGATTAAGGAGGTAAGCGAGGCCCTCCCCTGGCCCCCTCCCTCCACATCACCTGGCTCCTCCCTTCTGCCTCCTGCTTCCCTCCCTCCTCCTTTCCGCAACAGCCCCAGCTCCTCGTGTTCCGTCCCTCTCCTCCCGACCCCGCCCCTCTCCTCCCGGCCCCGCCCCTCCTAGACACGCCCTCTCCCATGGCCCCGCCCATATCCTAATGGTCATGCCCCTACCCTCCCGGTCCCGCCCTCTAGCCCCGCCCATCCTAGGCCCGCCCTCTCCTCCTGGCCCCGTCCTTCTCCTCCTGGCCCCGCCCCCTCCCTGACACCCTCACCCCCACCCGCGTCTCTCCTAGCCCTGCCCCTCTACTCTAGGTCCCGCTCCCTATCCTCCAGGCTCTGCCTTCTTCTCCAGGCCACGCCCCTCTCCCCTTCCACACCCCGCCCTTCTCACCCTCTGGCCCCGCCCCTCAGCCCCGCCCTGCCGAGCGTCCCGGTTTCCCCGACAGATGCAGGAGGCCTTGGCGAGCGCCCGTGCCAAGGAGGAAGCCGAGAGCTCTCTTCGCCAGCAGCAGCAGGCGTCATTGCGGCAGCGTGTGGGCGAGGTGGACGCAGAGGCCTCGGACCTCTTAGCCCGCTTCCAGGAATTGCGGGAGCTGCTGGAGAAGCTGAAGGCCGGTGAGCGCCCCGACGGCTCCTCGCCCTGCCCCAGCTGCCGCATTTGCAAGCTTGCGACGAGCAGGAGCAGGGCCCTGCCCAGGGCTGGCCGGGCGGGTTCCGTGATGAGTTTGTGCCCTTGCCCATCTGTCCATCCCGTGTCATCCATCCGTCCGTCCATCCATCCATCTATCCGTCCATCTCAGATATGCCCTATCCATCCACGCATCCCACGTCTGTCCGTCTGTCCGGCACCCAGCCATCACTGCATTTCTTATTCGGGGGGAGGTCGCCTCGGTGCAGTGGACTTGAGCCAGGCATGGGTTTGACTCCCAGCTCCACCGTTTGTGAACCTCGACGTGTGATTCCTCTTGCTCTCTTCATTTCCTCCTCTGAAAGTGGGGGTGACAGTGTGCCTGCATGGGACTGTCGTGAGGATTAGATGGGACGACGAATGGAAAGCTAGCGACAGAGACTGGAAGTGTGTGTGGGGGCAGGGAGACAATGAGCAGAAGTGCCACCTGGTGGCACGCAGTGGGAGCTGGCTTATCGGTGTCTGTGCCCAGCCCTGTGCTAGGTGATGAGGACTGGACGCTTGTCACCCAGCTGCCCAGGTGGAGGACAACCCAGGCACTGTGGGCGAGGCCGTGTCCAAGGTATGGGAGGTGTGGCACGTGCCGTCGGGGCCCCTTGAAGGGGGGGTGTCACTGAGCAGTTTCCATCACCAGCAGTGAGAGGTCAGCCAGCAAATTAAAACTAATACTTTTTCTTTCCTTTCTAATGCATTTTATTGAAATATAATTTATGTACAGTGAAATAGACAAAACTAAAGTGACACGGGTCTTTTTTTTTTTTTTTTGCAGTGTTCTCTCCTCTTCCCTCCCACCCCTGGCAACTAACAAAGTTTCCCTGCATATATAAACCTTTGCTTGACCCTCCACAGCAAGGAACTAATCCTATATTTGTCCTTCTGTGATTGACTTATTGCACTCAGCATAATGTCCTCCAAGTTCATCCATATTATGTGGTGTTTACAGATTCTACATTATTCTTTAGTGCTGCACAGCATTCCAGTATGTGTATGTACCATAGTTCAGTCATCCACTCTTCCGCTGATGGGCACGTAAATTGTTTCCATCTTTTTGCTGTTGTAAATAGTGCTGTGATGAACATGACTGTGCATGTATCTGTTCCTGTCCTGGCTCTCACCTCTCTAGGATATATACCTAATAATGGGATTACTGGGTCAAATGGTATCTCCAATTCCAGCTTTCTAAGGAATCGCCATATTGCTTTGCAGTGGTTGTATCACTTCACAGTCCCACC